GGAAAGTCCAGCGAGTGAATGCCAGGAGGAGCGTGTAAACATGAAAACTTCCAAAATGTCCAAATTCAGCACATCCTTTCGCCAGCCTCAGTATGACAAGCTTACCCAGGACACCTAGACAAAATCCCTTCCAGAATCTCTTTGAAATCACTATATATCTATTTGTACCAGCAGCACTCCTGGCCTTTGCAATCTGAGAGCAGATCCTTAAAGACATCTTTAACATTTCTGACAAACGAAAGACTGGTTGGATAGTTCAAGAGAATAAGTACTGCAGGTTGTGTTGGAAGTGTGATCCTTTAATGCTGTGGACTGGGGCTTTAGGAAGAGTCATGGGAGCTCACGTGGCGTCACAACTAACAAGGAGGGCACTCCGATCTCCAGCAACCTTCAATGGCTCCGGAGATGGAAGACCACACCCCATTAATTTACTTTAATTTCTATTTCAACTTTCCTCCTCATTAATTAGGAGCTGAGGTTCACACAGATTACAGCTCCTGCCATGCAATCCCAATGATGACTTTAGGTGGTGCATGCCATACAATCAAGTTCTGTGCGCTGAGATGCGGCCACAGCAGATTGAAATGAGAAGCCTGAATGTCTGCTACCTGTGAAACAGTCAGAGAGGTTACACAAGGAGAGGGATTCCCTTTTTCTTCCTTAAGACATCCGTAGATTCATCCAGAGGCAACATACACGTATGAGAGCAGCGCTTTCTAAAGCACACATCACCCAATGAATCAAAAAGAAAGCTCAGCACAGTGATTGCAGCGAGCGATAAGAGGGCAGTGCCGGGAGGACACACAGCTACCCTCAGAAGCAGCAACGCAACCGCGCGTTCATTGCACAGCGCTCAGCCAAAGGCAATCAAATCACCCTGCTCGGATCGACGGCCTTCAAATAAGGAAGTAGCCCGTTAATAAAAAGCGTGACAGCTTTTCGGCTGCTTTTCCACCCCCCACCTCCCCCCACCCGTGTCGTGTAAAAGCACACCCACAAGAAAAAGTGAAAGCCCCCGGCTGTTGCAGGGCAGAGGGGAGCAGAGCAGCCCGTGCTCTCCCGCAATCCGACGGCAGAGGAGCGCTCCGCCGGGCCGTGCGCTGACAGACGCAACTCACCGCGCGGCAAACAGGGCACAGCGACCTGACAGCACCCGCGGACAGCGCGGAGAGATGCGGGGGATCGCAGCCCGCAAGCCGACGGCGGGTGCACGAAGCAGCGAGCTGTCAGCCGCTCGTGCTCACAGTCGGAAACAAAGTTTGCGAGCAGAACGGCGCGGTCCTCACCGCCGGCACCGCCACCCACGTGCTCCGCGGCTCCGCGCATCAAACCGACCGGCACCGCCAACAGAACGGGACGCGGCGCTCCGCGCACCGCAGCGCTGACGGACGCTGGAAAACCCGCGAGCGGAGCCGGGCGGCAACGGCACGACGGCAGCACCGCTCCCGCCGGACTCTCCCCCCCCAAACTTCCCGCCGCCCCACGGCGTCGCAGCCCCGAACCCCGCCGCCTCTCACCTGGTGCCGGCCAGCGGCCGCGGGCCACGTCCGCGCAGAGCGGGCAGGAGGCAGCGGGCGGGAGGAGGGCCGGCCCGGCCCCGCCGCTTCCTGCCACGGCCCCGCCGCCGCCCGGGGCGCGGCTCCCTGCTGCCAGGCGCGGCCAATCGCTCGGCGCTCGGCTCGTCGCCCTGCCGCCGCACTCGCCGCGGGCGGGAAAGAGGAGGGGAGTGGCATCGGCGCTCGGCCGCGCGGCCCGGCACGAGCTGAGGGCGCCTCGGCCATCGATCGCGGGGGGGGAGTGGGGGGAGGGCGCTCGGCGCTCGATTGGTTCGCCTGCGCAGCCCGGCCGGTGGGATGAGGGGGGCGGCGGAGATCGGCGGGCGATTGGTTCCCCTGGGGGGGTTACCCCGGGGGGGGGGGCGGGAGACCGGGGATGGGCTTGGAGTTTATAGGGCCAGATGTGTGAGGAAAGGCAGGGCTGTAAGGGGTGGGGTGTGCGAGGAGGGGGCTCTGATTCGCTGTGGGGAGGCAGGTGTATGTGGAGTAAAGGTAGGCCTGTAAGGAGTCGGGGTGGGTGGGAAAGGAGAGTCAGGTTTATGGGCCCAGCTGTGTGTGAGGAAAGGCAGCCTGTGCACAGATATGTGTGTGAGCCTTAGGCCTATGGGGGACCGAGTGTGTTCGGAGGTGGTTTCGTGCCTACCACAGGTTCAGGTGTGCAAGAGGAGTTTTCAGGGTCCATCACAGAGTGGCTCTGAGGCTTGCAGCAGCTGCTGGTGTGTGGAAAAGCCTTGGTAAGGATGGGCTGCATCAGGAGGGGAGCTGTGGACTGCACAGCCTGAGGGGGAAAGGCCTTGGAGGACAAGAAGCTTTAGTGGCGGCTGAAAGGCCTGGGTTAGGATGACTGCAGAGCAGAGAGACAGGGTAAGGTGGTGCAATGCTGTTCCTGCCATGCTTTGCAGTTTCATATATGGCAAACGTTCCTTTATAAATATAGAGACCTACACTGGCTTGTCCACTGGTCTCTGAGCATGTTGCTGATGGACAAAGCTGAAGGTCCAGAGCTGTGCGTTCTGCCCATGCCTCATGCAGCCTCGTGCTGGTGTGTCGCTGCTGGGCTGCCTTCCAGGGCCCTCGTGGTGCAGTCATTTCAAACCAAAGGTGTGGAAACTTGAAAGCAACATGTCCCAGGCTATGGGCAGCTGTGTTCTGTTCTACAAAGGCCAATATTGCAGGTTTTCTGGTTATCTATTTCATATAAGAAACATGTTGCTGTGCTTTCTGTTTACAAAGACTGAACTTTGTAGCTTTTTTTTTTTTCTTCTCTGTTTCTTACAAATGGAAAGAAAAACAAAGAGCAGGGCCTCTGTGTCAGCTGCTTTGCAAATAGCTGATGCTGACAAAGCAGGATGCAGAAACCTTTCTTCAGACAGAGTGAATGTATGTCAAACAGTCAGTGAGTTGTGATGAGAAAAACAGTTTTTTATGAGAACATGAGCCAAGAACAACAGCTTGACAAAGAAGTTTTAAACTTTCCCTGATAGCTCTTTGGGGCGTAGATAGTTAAGTTTCTGCATTTGTAAGGGAAACATGGCATTCCTTAAAGCTGAACCTCCTCCCTTGGGTTCCCACTGGATGCCTGAGAGATGACAGTATAGGGTGTCTCCAGAAGGCTAATATTAAACAGGAGGAATTGGTGTGGAGGGAGCAAGCAGCAAGTGAGATTCCAGTTTTGACCACAGAATGAGCTAAAACAATTTTGCATCAGCAACTCTATCCGGTTTCTTACTCATTCTCTGCACACAGCTCCTGCTGTTCAAAGGATTCCTCTGTGCCCTCACATTAGTGAATGCACCTGCCCTTTGTGTGCAAGCTTCCTCCTAAAGGGTAAATTTGCTTCAGACAAACAGAAAGTGCTGAGGCAGTGTAATGTGAGTTGAATTAACCTTGAAAGGGGAGCCCCAGCTCAGCCTTGCTAAATTTACCCAATCGCTGTCCACAGCAGCATGAGCAAGGCTGGCTGGGGAGCTGATGGGTGAACTGTGTGGACACATGGAAGAGATACAGGAAGGAAATGGAAAATAAATTGGGGGTTTAGCCAGAGTGCTGTTTCTAATTCTGCAGCTGTGTGAAGATGAGGAAGTGATTTGGGCAGTCCAAGCGCGGCCCCAGCAGTGCAGCTCCTGGGATGCAGCAGCAGCCACCGCACCCTTTCCTGTTCACCCTGCAGCCCTGTCAGCTCTTCTGCATCTGCCAGAGCCCTGTGGAAGGATTGCTTGTATGCGTGCAGATGGCACTGGCACCGATGTGATTGGCAGCAAGAGGTGGTGAGTGGCTCCAACACTTACTGGTGTGCCAATTTGAGTGCCCCCCAAAGGGATGTTGAGATCTGGGAGCTGCTCGCAGTTGCGCTGATGTTTAGCCACGTCTCTGCCTCATCTCCTGTAAGAGGCAATATTTACTTATGTAAAAAGGTTTAATACATGCTTTGCGTGGGTGTTCCAAGTTAAAAATTGTCAGTCAGTGCAAACAGATCTTGGATAAACTAGTGAAAAGCAAAGTGCACGAGCTGTGTTACTACTGCAGTTCTTTTCAGAACAGGGTATGTCCTGGTGCCCCCTGGGTTAACTAGTTTTAAACAGCACTGCAGTCATCTTGAGTTTAGTCCTTCCTTACATAAAACCAATTCTGTTTTATTTCCTTGGTTAGCTGTAGTGTCTCAGTGAGTCAACAAGCCGTGCATTTGGGGAATGTCCAGGTGAGCGTTCAGCACAGCTCTGCTAAGGGCACGGCCATAGTCAGTGCCTCCCAGGTGATGTGCAGCTGTGGGAAAGTGCACAGTGAAACACCTGGCCTGAAATAGCATGAGGCTTTTTCACATTCATTAAGGTCACATAATTAACGTGGTCCCTGCATGTAAATCTCACTGCAGGATCCACACCTGAGTCCTTCAGATTGTAGCAGCGTCCTGCTGGAGAATAACCTGTCTGTGCCCATCTGCAGTGGGTTTGGACGCTTAGGAAAGTTGCGATTGACTGGCAGGGAGTAGTCTGATGAAAGCATGGAGGAACGAGGAAGACTTTTGTACACGGAGGAAAGCAGCAGGAAAGCTGTGCAAGCACTGGACCAGCCCACTTCCACTGGGCAGGGACGGTGCTGGGCATTGTGTTAGCATCGGTGATAGCAGCTGGTGGCAGAACGTGACAACGTGCCTCTCGAGAGGTCCGACGTCTCCGCCCTCGCGGAGCATTGCGCTGCCGTGCGCGGGTCTCGAACCTGCAACTCAGTGAGTGACGCCGTGCCCGGGCCTCGAACCCGTGACCCCTCGGCAACCCACCGCGCCCAGCGCCCCCCGCCCCATCAGGCCCCCTGTTAGTTGCCCGCCCCGTTCGCCTGCAGCGCCGCGCGTCCATCCGGCGGCGGCTCCGGCGACCGGAAGCGGAAGTGGCGCGCGGGTGCAGGCGCTGTTGCCAGAGCGCCCGGCGGAGCCGCGTCCCGTTCTTACCCCGTCCCGCCGCGATGAGCGCGGCCGGGCTGGTGTCCGCTACGCCGCCCGCTCCAGCCCCGCCCGGGGCACCGGCCCCCGCCATGCCTCCCGGCCCCGAGTACTACGAGGAGGAGGAGCTGGAGAGCGCCGAGGAAGAGGATGGCGAGCGGAGCGCTCGGGCCCGAGACTCCGATGAGGGTGGGTAGAGCTGGAGCGGGGCTGGGGAGGCCGGGAGGGCCGGGCCGGGCCGACGCTGCGCTCCCTGGGAGGTGGGTAGAAGCGGGGCGGGCTGCGAGCTGCGGGAACGTGCTGCGGAAATAACAGCTCGGCCGTCCGATCGCTGGAGTTTCCTGTGGAAGAATTAAAAAAAAATAAATACACGATGGCGTTTGGAGCGGTGAAATCGGAGCGGTTTTCTCGAGTGGGGAAGAGTCAGAACGAGGAGAGCGCAGAGGACGTGGGATTTTGGGGTGTCCCGGGCTGTAATTGGGGCTGTAATGTAGGATAAGAAGTGCTGGAGAGGTGTGGTGTGCGGAGCTCGCTTGTGTTTCTGTGGTGAGAAGGGGTGGGAGGAGGAAAGGGACGTTAGGTAGAGGAAAGGGTGAAACCTGTAAGAATGAGGGGCCATGAAGGTGTTAGGAGAGAGAGGGGTTTATAGTGGGACCGGGAAAACAAGGGAGAAGAGAAATCCAAAGTGAAATCCACAGTATCCTGGCATGTAGGATGCATACAATGATATGTAAGGGAGATGAGGAATGACCTTCTGATAGTATGCAGGGTCAGATTGGATGGGAGTCAGCCCCACTGTGCTGCCACATCGTGTCTGTGTGCTTCTGAACAAGGAGTTGGAGCCTTTAGGGCTGACAGCATACATGATGCCAGTGGCAGTATGCAAATAAAATGGGTATGAAGGGCTTTTTTGTTTTTTGTTACCAAAGTATTTCTGCTGTAGTCAGAATTTGAGCTATATCTCTGTGCTGAACTTTATCTTAATATAAAAATAAAGTTTAAGGTGTTTGTTTGTAGCCTTTCACAGGTTTTTTTTTGAGGCTGATGCCTTTGTCCATATGTGGGAGATGTAGCTGTAGGTGGGCTGTGCAGCTGTACCTTGTCCACCATAACTCCAGCCTGGAGAAGCTGACCCCTTAGAGAGGAAAGGGAATTCACCCTTGGCTGCGCAAGAAAAGAGAGCTGCAGAGGAGTAGCTGAAAGCTAGCAGTGCTGTACTGCTTTATTTTATAGGTTTTATTATCTGCATGTAAGATTGGGTCTATCTGTGCGTTAGCACTTGTCTGTGCTTTGAGAGAATGACGGAGTATTTCAGCGTGGAGCTGAGAAGCCAACTTCAGATTATAGCAAGAAATGTGTTATCTTAAGTGCAACCTCTGTGGTAAACCATAACAGCATCTACTCACAGTGCTATTTGCAGAGCTTCAGGTCAAGATACAGAGGCATTCTGAATCAGAGCTCCTTCAGTCCTTGTCTCCTGGGTGAAGCTATAAGAAGCAGCTTGGGAAATGTCCTTCAGGGTCCTAAGATTGTGTTACCATCTCACTTTAGGGTTGTAAGACTAATGGAAAGGAATTAGTTGGGGGATCTTAAGTCAGTGCTGCTTAAGCTTGGTGGAAGCTGTGTTGTAAATCTGCTGGTGGGCTTACATGGGATGACTTGTGGTGTCAAGGAAGAGATGAGATGTTTCAAGTCAGTTCTGAATTCATTTCTCCTATTGCCAGTCTGGTTGTGTATTTGCCCAAGTGTGGGTTTTTTAGCAATTTACTGTTGTGCTTTTAATCCTGCCTAGTTTTAACAAGTCATTCTTTACCTCATTTAGATACTGAGGATGCAAGCGAGACTGATCTGGCAAAACATGAGGAGGAAGACTTTGTAGAAATGAAAGAACAGTAAGTAGCCCATTCTAATGAAAAGTGAGGTTATGTTTTTGCTGCCCTTCTTGGGAGGTGGGGGACAGATGTCTTGTTTTTGTATAGAGCTCTGCAGTGTTTTGGACCAAGATTTGGGTTAAAAGAACTGTAGCTCAATGTAATAGCTAATGAGCACACGTAATTGCATTTCTTCTCAGTTGTTTTCTCAGTTCATGAAGCAAAGCAATGTTTTGAACAAAGAAATGCACAGCAGCTCAGTTTTGCTGCAGATGAATCCCTCTGCAGGCAGATCCTTTAAAGAAAACAAGGAATCTACTTGATACAAGCCAAGGCAAGATGCCTGTGAAAATTACTTAAGTGACTGAATGTCAGACTTGTCCAGGGAGAATTAACTTTTTGGAGACTTGAGGTAGTTTATTTCCAACCTAAGATGTATTTGCAGCATTTTATGTTCATTTACTGGCAACAGTGTGGTTTTTCACACAGGTCAGGAAGAGTTGGGCTATGTTAAACCACAGATACGTGAGAAAGGAAATGCAAGACTAAAACAGCACTGGGAATAGACTTTGGTTTTAGTTTTGGGTTTGCTTTTTTTTTTTTTTTTTTGGTGTGTGTGCTGGGGAAAGTTTTATATGTGTATGTAAAATATATACATATAGATATGTAAAATATCCACACACATATATGCAGAATGTTGAGGTCTGTGTGAGGAAATGCCTTCTGTTTTATCAGTAGGAAAGTAATACACAAATATTGAGACTTGATAAAGTGGCAGAACTGTTGCAAAGTTCCTGGTGTCTGTAAATCTAGATGTCATTATAGGTTTCCACGTTTAAAACAAATAAGTCTTGTTTTTGCTGAACTCTTAGGGAAATGATTGACTTGAATGCATCATAAAACTGATGAGTTTTCTTAGACAGAGTGATGATGTCTCATTTGTAGGATAAATACCCTTTTACTTGTTTGCCTCCCGAAGTTCTTCTAAAAAGCTTTTGATTCAGTGTCAGCACGCTGTAACTGAAGCAGATGGTGAAACAAATCATGTTGGCTTGTTTTTCACTTGTTGCCCAAGGAGGCTGTGGATACCCAATCCCTGCAGGCATTCAAGGCCAGGCTGGATGTGGCTCTGGGCAGCCTGGTCTGCTGGTTGGTGACCTGCACACAGCAGGAGGGTTTGAAACTACATGATCATTGTGGTCCTTTGCAACCCAGGCCGTTCTATGATTCAGTGTAAAGGTCTCTGTCATTGCAGGATGTATCAGGACAAACTGGCATCTCTTAAGAGGCAATTGCAGCAGCTGCAGGAAGGTAAGTCTTGAAGGGGGGTAGCTTTGTGTTTGTGTTTCAGGAAGGAAACTGAATACAAAGAAAAATTTAAATTGCCTTTGAAATCAACAATTTGTTTTTAGGTACTCTTCAGGAATATCAGAAAAGAATGAAAAAGTTGGACCAGCAGTACAAAGAAAGGATACGAAATGCTGGTAAGCTGTATTTCTTTCAAAGATGCTGCATATGCCTTTGCATTACGATTTTTGTAACAGCAGAAGGTGAATGCAGCTCTCCACTGACGATAGGAACTTGGTGGAGGAAAGGGTTCCATGCTCTGAGGGTGGGCTGTGGTTGTTTCGGAGTTTATGAAACACGATGGAATCTTTCTTGAAAACACCCAGCCCCCCGTCAGTGTTATTTGCAGAGTGTTTACTGAACACCAATAAAATATTCAGTCTTTATTTGTGTGAAATAGCACAAATGAAAATGTTTGTATCTGCCATTATGCCTGCAGTCTTCCACGTTGGCTTGTTGTGCAGCTTGTCCAACACCTTAGCACTGCATGCTTCCTCAGAAATCTGTTTTGTGCTTGAGAACAACAAATGCAGAGGATCTGCTGCAGATGTGACTGTTTACAGCTGTGACACCAAATGGGCTGCCTACATCTTCTGGCTCTATCTCAGAAGCAAGGGCCCAAGTTCATTTAGAAGTGCCTAGCTCTGCCCTTCTGAGAGCCTTTATTGTGTTACCACAGAGGGACAGCTTGGAAATCAGATCTGTTTGCTTGTTTTCCTTTCTGTCCTCTTTCCAGTAGTTTTTTATCTTAGATACTGAAGCAAGGTCAGATCCCATTATTCTGTGAAATAGATCAGAGCAGTTGTATGATGTCAAATATACAGCAGCCTTTCAGTAGTGCTAGCTGTCTTCTAAAAGACTTTGGGATAGTACAGGATCTGCTTGAGGAATTTAAGTAAATTGAGCTGCTCCTTGCAAGCATAAATCTGTCTTCCGAGAAGCAAATATTTTATGTTAGGGTGGCATTCTAGTGGTAATGGGATGCTGAAACTAACTGCTAACTTGTATCCCTGGCTGGCAGGGAGTGGTGGTGCATCAGCACCTTTCTTCCAGAGGAGGGCAGATTGTGCTTAGTTTTGAATTAGGATAAAAACCTGACTGCCTACTGTTACAGGAATGGGTTTTTTGTGTTGATTCATTCCCACGTTGAGTGAGGTTTTTCATTCTGCTTTTGTGGGTTTTTTTGTTTTTAATTTAGAATTCAGATATTAATGCAACAGTTTAGATTTGTCTGTATATGATTAGCTCCATAATGGAAGTATTCATAGCATGGCTTGGGTTGAAAGGGATCTCAAGGATCATGAATCTCCAACCCTCCTGCCTCAGGCAGGATCACCAACCTCCACTCTTAATACCAGACCAGGCTGCCTTCCTTGCTGAGTGGTTAGGGAAGAAGTTGCAAACAAAAGGTTTAATTTTTATTTTGGCCATCTGTCTTGGCTTTTATAGCACTTTAAAAAGTGACACGGCTGCTTCCACAGCCTGGTCTGCTATTAAATGGGGAGGTTGGTGGCTCTGCATGTGACAGAGGGGTTGGAGATTCATGATCCTTGACTTCCCTTCCAATCCTGGCCATTCTGTGATAACAGGCTTCAGTATGTTTCAGAGCAGTTTTTGCCATTTCAGGTACTTCCATAGGTTAAAATGCTGGTGAAATATGGTGGTTTGAGGACTGGGTGCCTTAGTTTGCTTTCTTTGACACCGTCTTGAGTAAAGATTTCCTGTGCAGTGTGCCCTCCAGGAAACACAAAAAGCATGCAGACTTGCTTGATTTCAAGTTATTAGCCCTTGCACAAACATCAGCAGGGCTGTTTCACACCAGAAATCCATTGGCCTCATCCTGCCTGACTTGAATTAAGGTAGTGCTGTATGTTAGAACTTAACCTTCAGGGATAGATAGCAACTTGCTTGCCTGTTTTCTCAGGCGTAAGCAGCCTGAAATCAGGCACTTGTATTACATAGATTAATCTAACTGCTGCAATGTTATTTCTGAATGGATCGTTGCTGAAATTCGTAGTACTGCTCTAAACTGTCAATTTTTGCCAACCATACATCAGCTGTGTGTGTCAAGTTTCTATCTGGGGAATTTGTATCCAGAATTGATTTACTTCTGTGATTGGAAGAAGGGTGGGCTGTATACTTGGTACTGATGGAAGTAGTAGCTGAGCTGAAAAGCAAGGTTTGCTGCTGTGTAAGGTTTGCAAATGTGATTGAATAGCTATAGAAAACTTGAATTAAGTTATTAAGTTGAGTCTTTCTTTTCTTTCAGAACTTTTCCTCCAGCTGGAAGTGAGTACTCTTAACTTATCAGAATACATATTAAGTGGGTGGAAGGTGTTAAACCTGCAGCTTTGTCAACCAGCACTTTTTCTCATTTTTTGTTTCCCCCTTTGGTGTTACTACAGCTAAGTACAGAATACAGTTCTGTTGCCTGCAGTAACTTCCAGGCTGTCATTAAAAAGAAAATGAAAAATCCACGTTTTCTCCAGTTGCTGTGTGCTGCTTGTGCATTTGGTCGTTTAAAAAGCTTGCTTAGGGTGATAGATGATAAGTCTGAAGAGCTCTCTGTTAGAGACTTGATAGGGGAGGCACCATTAAAGTGTGTTTAAAAAGAATTAATTCTTTTGCTGATAACAGTTCTGCTTCCTTAGTCATTTCAGGTGGTTTTCTGTTGTATTATTTCAATGTTGATAATCTGCAGAAGTGGCTGTAGTTTTCAACAGAAGAGCTAATGAAAGCACGGCAGTTGAAAGAAGGTGTTGCCAAATCACTGACTTGAGCTATTTGTTCTTTAGCTAACTCTTTTATCTTTTCATTTGCATTAGACAGATCAGGTGGAAAAGAATTACGTCAAGGAAAAGAAGGCAGCAGCAAAGGAGTTTGAAGATAAGAAAATTGAGCTTAAGGAAAATTTGATTGCAGAGTTGGAAGAGAAGAAGAAGATGATTGAGAATGAGAAGTTAACCATGGAATTAACAGGAGGTAAAAACAAGATCTGTCGTTTTTCTTCCCCGCTTTGCTACTGCTTAGAAAAAAGAGTTTTAAGAAGCCCTGCTGGTTTATACTGACAGCTTGACTTTAAAACTTCCCAAATGTCAACACAAATTGGTGGTCTTTAAGTGGAGAACGTAGTTCATAATAAAATTCAGTGACCTGCATTATTAACATGTAAATCAAAGCAGTGTCAGTGAAGGAGCAGAGTGCAGAAGCTTTCTCATTCACTTTTTCTCCTTTCAGAAGAACAGATTGAGTTCTTGGGATTTCTAGACTTGATAAAATTGTGCTGGATGCTGGGTTGGACTCAGTCCTGAAAGTTAAACTCGTGTTTAGATTCATAGCTTCTTCTCAAGACAGATTTTTTAGATAGTGTTGTAGAACAGTATTTCTTTGTGAGGTTGTACAAAGTTAATTAGTTGACTCACTGAATGTGTTGTGGCTGTCCTCGTGGTTGGAAGCCCCTTGCTTGGAGATATTTGAGGTCAGGCTGCACTGGGCTGTGAGCATCTGACTGAGCTGTAGGTGTCCCTGTTCATTGCAGGGAGTTGGACTGGATGGCCTTTAAAGCCCCCTTCCAACTCAAAAGATTCTACCATTCTGTGAGAATTTTGTTCAGTTGGGATGGCTGTTGGAACTGATGCATCTTAATCATTTTTGTTACTGAGTTCTAGAGGATGCCTACCACATGTTTGTACTTTTTCATTATGCTGATATGAAACGTGTTCTCATGATGTCCTGCTCTGTATACAGACAAAAAGGGCTTCTTTAAGTTCCTGCAACGTGGCAGTGAAACTATTGAGAAGTGCCACAATGTTGACCTGACCAGTGCTACCAGGTTTTAAATAGTGCAGATGGTTAAGAAGCTAAGGGAAGGTAAACAGCAAATGTTAAAATGTGCTACTTAAACCTGGTAAAAGAGATTCATTTCAGTTAGCTGCATTTATGTCTAGACTCTAGAGAATGAGCATTAAATGGACAGATTTCTTGTATGAAACCACTTGTTACCCTTGGTGCCTTGTCAGTAGTGAACTCAGTGGAGTGAGGGTTGATTGGCCTCCTTCACAGGTTGTGCTTCTCTGGTACGGAACCAAAGGTCTGGTCTGATTTCCTTACAAGAAGCAACTCCCGCATGTTATGGACAGATGATGTTGGCTGTGTTGCTGAGGTCTGTCCATGAATTGGACCTTTTATATCTTTTTTAGCATCTACAAGTGTTACATAAGCCAATAGCTTAATTGGTGCTCAGAAACAAGAGATGAAACGTGTTTGGTGGAATTGTACAAACCATTAGGGCTGATCTGGTCTGGAAAACACCTTGTGCTGGTTGTCTGTTTTTGGATTTGTTTTTATGGGTTTGTCTGATCTTACAAACTCTCCGTGTCTTTGCCTTAACTTTGTTATTGTCACTCTGGGCTGTGCTTCCTCACTGCTAAGCTGGCATACAGTGTTAATCTTGCAAGTAGGTCTTCATTAAAGGATCAAGGTCTGAGTAGATCTTGCCTTTGTAATCTGCACACCACTGTATTGAGGATCTGAGGGAATCCAGGGTCTCCATCAGCAGGCAGGACAGCTGTTAACGTCAGGGTTGGGATTTGCAGAGTGGAAGGGAGACAGAGGAGGGTAAAAAGAGGTATTCAGGGGTAATGTGTGTGCTTTGGGGACCAGATTAATTCTCCTCTGGGAAATATCTCCCCCACTGCTGTGTGTCCTGAAGAGATGAGCTATTTCATCAGGCACAGCTCTGGTAAAAGGCATGTAAATAACTGTGGAGAATCAATTCATTGTGTGTGTGTGTGCTAGGCCTCTCTTATCTCCCTCCTTCCAGACCAGCAGAAATGCAATTTGATTCCTTTAGAAGTAGCAGAATTGATCACGAATGCATACTGCAGCCTGAGAAAGGAGCACAATGGAACCTGCGTGCACTCAGTGATTTCTAAAACCTATAGAGAAGCTCATTGTGAGCAAGAATGCAAGTTGGCAACCTGATGAGTAGCAGGCTGGTTTGTGAGCATCAGGACTTGCTTGCAGTTTCTGTAGATTGTAGCTGCTGCCTCCTGGAGCACTGCCCTGTGTGGTTCTCACCTGTTAAGGCTCATGTAAGCTTGTGTTTCAGGTGAAATCTGCTGGTACTTTAGCAGCTCTTTGAAAATAGCTTCAAGTTATCACAAATCTCAAGAATCTCACAGCTCTTCACGTGTTTCATTGCAAGTGGAAGACTTTCAAGGTGTTTTTCTCTGGGGGTTGATGTGGTATTAGCGTTCAGCTGACTTGTTGCAGTTTTATCTACAAGTTGCTGAGGTCAGTTGGTATCCTTACTCAAATTTTAAGGTAACAGCTTTGTGACAGCTCCTTTCAAAGAACTTTTATAAAAAAGGTGGAAAAGCCTCAGCGTGGCTGCATGGCACCGTGAGGAAGTGCTTCAAGCCCCTCTTTTTGAGGCTCTTGTAAATCAGTCTTCACAAATGGCAGGAAGGGGCTTCCATTAACACAGTAGCTTATGATTTTAGTGTCCACAAAGCTATCAGTGTGCAGCGTAATACAAAGCACTCAGCTCTGAAGGAAACTACTCCTTTGTTGTACTGCTGGGAGTGACACTTCAGTTTCTACTTATTTTTAAAATCTTTTCTCATGATGTTTGTTCCCTTAATATGCAGAATGTTCTTTCTATTGCACCCTTTGTAGGGAGAAAAGTAAGTTTGTGTTTTCAACGTGCTGAGCAACTCAAGCATGTGGTGTCTAAAGGGAACCAGGGAAGCTTCATATACATCAGTGCTTTCTAGGCTGTGATTTGTATGTACTCAAAGACAAATAAATAGCTTTCAGCGCATAGAAGGAACAGTGATGTGTTGGGTTTAGCATTTTAGGTGTGGTCTCTTGCCAATTCAAGCTATCTTCATAAACTAAGGAATTATCTGTGAGAGTTTGAGAGTTAAGTTGGGCAGTTCAGACCGCCTGTAGTCATTTAGACAAACTGCAATGTGGAGAATGAATCATAGAATCACAGAATCATCAAGGTTGGAGAAGACCTTAAGATCAGCCAGTCCAACCATCCACCTGCCACCAAGATTTCCCACTAGACCATGGCCCTCAGTACAGCACCTGAATGTTTCTTTAACACCTCCAGGGATGGTGACTTGTTGAGATGTTTCAATTTTAGACTATTTTCCCCAGTGCTTGAGCTACAGCTTTCTTCCTAACAACAGTAGTTGTGAATTTTACAATTGAGCTCACTTTTTAAATCATAATTTGAGACTTTTTTCAGATCATCTGGGTTTAAATCCTGTTTGTGTTTGAAGCTCCATGTGTCAGTCTCCATCTTGAATGCAGTGACTGTATTGCTTAGTGTTCCAACCTGAAGATGTGAGAAAGAATGGTTGATTTGGAGCTGATGTGTGATGTGCTGCTACCTACTCCAGTTTTATTAGCAGATAACTCCTTTTAAGTGATCTGCTTGGAAGCAGATATGCGGTGTTAGCATGAGAGAATTTCTTCGTGAGCCGTCATAGCATTGCTGTGCTTCACTTACCTGTACCTGAGGGAGCTGTTGAGTTCCCCAAACAGCTGTGCCACATGAAGACAGTGAAAGCTGTAACCATGGCATCACAACACTGTTGTTCAGCAGTGACCTATTATAAAAGAGAGCTCGTATTCACTGTCAGCAGTTCCAGCTTGGATGCTAGAAGCTGTCGTGAGAAAAACCTATTTTCTGAGTGAAAGAGAAAACATCATTTTCCTTGTGCCCTCTGTAGAAAGTTACTGATTCTTACTCTTCTCCCAGTGGCCCCATCAGCTCTCCAACTTCATTTCTCTACAGATTCTATGGAAGTGAAGCCTATCATGACGAGGAAACTGAGGCGACGACCAAATGATCCAGTTCCCATCCCAGACAAGAGGAGGAAACCTGCCCCTGATATCCTACAGAACCACTGGAGGGCTTTTGTATTTGAAGTCAGCATGCTGCCTGCAAGGCAGAGCACATCAGTGTTGTTGCACACAGGAAATAAAAAAGAGGTGTTAAAATCAGGATTGAATGTAGAAAATGCCCAAGTAGAATTTGTTTTGTGTATTGTGTGATTAACAAACAGCGTGCAGCTGATCTGTGGAGATAAGAACTTAAACTCCACAGTGTCATGAGATAACTAGGTGGGGATTTTTGTCATGGAGACCAGTTTGAGTTCCTCTGGCACTTTTTTCACAAAGGGAAGTTTTAAAAGAACGTTATACATAAATGTTGAGGTGTTTGATTCCGTAGATAGGAGATGACTTTTTCCATGAACCACAGCTATTCTCATTTCAAGATGTGACAAAACATTTGCCAGAAGGCTCATATTTGTCATATCAGACTGTGTTTTCCATTTCTGAGAAAGGCTTCAGATATCTAATGTGGAGAGATGCATAGCAAAAGCAAGGAACTAGACTTGAGCTCTGAATTAGATTATTTTTTTTATAACACCAAAAAATAGAAAGCTGCACACAGGTAATCCTTCCCTCCTACCTTTTTGTTTTCTGTAATTAAAATGATTCCTGGCTTCTGGAAATATGTGATGGTGGGTCCTTTTTCTGTGTAAATTAAATTCACCTGGAAAAGAAAGCAATGATATTCACTCTGCAGAAGTTTGTTGTTGGATTCCCAACTTGTTTTGCATGGATCAGATTCACAAACTTACCTTGCAGCTCCTGAGTGACTCACATTTTCTGAGGGCAGCATCAAACCCGAACTTCTAGGATTCATGCAGGATGGTCACGAGCATCTCCAGTTTTAATTGACCTCTTTTTACTTGGAGATTGTTCGCTGTTCCTAAAAATATATATTTATTTTGGTTTCAGAGATTGTTTTCCGTTGAGCTGTGTGATCTTATTTCATCCTCATCCACATGAGGTGTGTTTTGTGCCTCCTGCTTTTTCGGGTTGGTTTTCTCAAGGTTTTGTGTATTTTTGTTCTTGTTCCTGTCTTTATTCCTGCCTATTGAGTTGTGAAGTGCTGACTTTTTTTGTGTGTGTGTCATTCAACTTAATTTTACAATATTTCAAGGAAGTCTGTTGTGTTTCAGCTCGCAGATTGTTCTCTGCAGCAAAGCAAGCTGAAAAACACTGAAAATGCTCCTTGTTTGGTGCCTCCATCAAGTAAATGTCAATGTGCTAAAGGTTGTTCATGGATGCTTTTGAGTGAGTAAGTTAAAGAGGTCTTGTAGTGTTTGCTGCTAAATATGAGGCTTTATAGGGGTGGACTTGCATTAATTTGTATGATAAAAAAGTATAATGCCCTTATTAAAATGTGATGCAACTTTGCAGGAACCTTGTGGCTTACGTTTAGTGAAGTGAAATATCACTGAGCTTTAATTTTCAGCCTTGTCAAGGGCTTTAGAGAACCTTAATTCTGGATACCTCAGCTAAATTACTTGCTGACGGATGAGCAAATAATGGAGGACCTGAGAACCCTAAACAAGGTAGGGATTGTGGCTTGGCTTTTATTTCTTTCCCCTGCAAAGAGCAGAGCTGTCTGTCCTGTGTTCCTTTCTGAGATGGGGGACTGTTTCATCCCAGTAGGCTTTCTGAAGTGACACAAGATAAGATTTAGCAAGAGGGTATCTCCTCCCTTCTATTTTGGTAGGTTTAATTAACCTAATTAAAATGACTGCTGTCGAACAATGTTACCTTTTGTCAGAACCAAGTGATAAGCCATCTTACTGTGTTTTTTGTCTTCCCCTGCATGGCTGAACAGATGTTAGTACTGCTTTCTTTGAGATCCCAGCCTCTGTTCCAAGCCTTTGGGGGCTTTTCTTTTTTCTCCCCAATCTCACAGTACCTCATTAAATGGGGGTAGGCTACAACGTGTATATTTATTGTTCGATTTCTTCTAGATGTGATTATCCTACTGCTTTCTTGCTAACTGCTTTAAGGCTTATGTGATTTCTTATATTAGAGGCTGCTCATTAAGGCTTTTGATGATGTTAATGGTGCGTGCCTTTTGTGGCAGCTGTAGAAGTCTTGCTAATGATCCACATCCTGTGTTTGGCAAAACCTGAGAGCAGTTGGATCATACTCAGAGAACAGAGCGTGTCAGATGGGTTTGGTGTGGTGGACAGTCAGAATGCTCTGAATAAGTTCAGTTTCTGGACCTTTAGTGTTATGAGACAATCTGCACCTCTAGCTGCTTATGGAATGGTGCTCTGGTTTTGTTATGCCACTTAACTGTACATTAAAAAAAACACACATTTAGAATATGGGAAGAAGGACCACATCTAAAGTTGTTACATCCTTGGCCATTGTCAGATCACTGACACTTTCTCTGTTCTCTTTCTATGCAGCTTAAATCACCCAAGAGACCAGGTGAGTTAACAGTGGCACTGGAACTTGTTCACAACTTGCTGTTTGGAACAGAGTTATACTGTAGGCTTCTTGACTGTGTAATTTGGCTGTGTAATTGTTTTGACTGTGTAATTGCTGTTCTTTGTGTAGTTACTGTGGCTAATGGGCGCCCTGTGGAGTCTCACAGTCTCTTATGAAGTTTGGGGTTGGGAAGGGAACGATGTGTATCTTTGGGTGTCTGAGACATTTGGGCAGTGGGGGACAGCTTAAAACATGAGGCAATCTAGATCTGTAGCAAGATTTTTTTTCTCTCTATTCATATGTGTCTGGACAGCTTATGTCTGTAAAGCAAATAGAGGATTGAGAATTGCCAGTTTTTGGGTTTAGCTCTCCAGGTGTGTCTGTACACTTCACTTCCAGATCGTGGTACTAACATGCTGGAGTAATCCTGACCCTATTTTATTAGTACATTATGAGGTAGAAGTAAGACAAAACCAAGCAAGTTGTGTTTATCACCTACCTATACATACTGGAGTTGCTTGATCTGTCTCAGTAAATGTTACAATTTATGTAAGCGAGGCCAAGGCTGAATCAGTCATCCTGAAAGAAAGTACCTTTCTAAGGAAATTCAGGTTTGTAGCTCTCTGTGCTTATTTCTGCTTAATGTGGCCACGTTAAATGATTCTACAGTCAGATGTGGTGCTGCATGGTGGACGTGTGCTAGTCTTTAATGGTCTGTTCTCTCTACTCAGCCTCTCCTTCCTCCCCTGAGCACCTCCCAGCTACACCAGCAGAGTCCCCAGCGCAGCGGTTTGAGGCCCGGATAGAAGATGGAAAACTCTACTATGATAAAAGATGGTAAGTCCTGGTGAATTTCTGTTTTAATCATTCTGAGCCTTGTTTTGTGAAGACAGAATGACTGCAGGGAGGAATTGCTTTATTAAGGAAGCCAGGGGTGAAATGTTTTTGAGCAGTTATTAGCTCCGTCCTCCAAGGGTGAATCATTATGGCTTTCATAAATAAGCGATAATGGAGTGTTCAGACCTCATAGACTTTCTGGAGTATCTGCTAGCTTGGAGACTTAAAAACAACTCCATAGAAAAAAGAAACTGTGCACTGTGACACTTGGGAAATAGTTCTGTCAAATCTAACGTCGTGTAAGAGAGCCACCATTGGTTGCAGTTTGGTGGAGCACTGAAGCTGCTCAGCTAAGATACAGAATTCAGCGATTGCAGGTACAGCTGCTGCCACAACTCACATGCTCTGCTTTGTAGTACAACAGCTCCTCATTCCACGAGGTGGCAGAAGGAATGTTGTGCACCAGATAAGCACAATGAAAAAGATTTCTAATAACAAATCCTAACAGCCTTAAAAGATCAGATCCAACGCAGGAGGGACAGCTTCAGAACTGCTGATTGGATATAGCTCTAAGTTTTATGGGTGTTTAGCTGTGGAAGCCTCACAAAATGGAAAGAAAATAAGATTTCTGTGCAAAATTTATTAGTGGGTCTTAATCAGAGACATGCAAAACAAGATAATCAAGGAGGCAAGCTAGTGCTTCTAAGCAGAAAGCAATTTCCAAGTAGCGTGCTTATTTGTAATCTGCTCTGTTGGCTCAAAATAATGAGATGAGGTTGTAATTTAATACTAAAAATAAGTTTTGAATTTGTTGTCTAAGCAGCAACTGTCTTGTGCATTGGTCGTTTGCTTGTCTTCTGGTAGTGAAGTTTCATTGAGGATTCAGTGGATGCAGCTCTGATGAAAGCTGCTGCCTGGAGCTTAAACTTCCTTGAGGCACAAACCAGACATGAACAGGCTGCTTGTCACTTCACAGATGCTCTCAGAATCTAATTTTTGTGTAGAGCTACTATCCTGTAGTGTATATTTAGATGAATAAACAGTTCCTTAGAATCTTCAGCCATGCAGATTACTGTAGTGTTGCATAACAAGATTTGTGTATGTGCTCCAGAAGTAAATGTGAGAGCACAGGAGTGGCTGCGTTTTCTGTTTCCTGAAGCAGCCAAGAAAGGACCATTATCTCAAAGTAGCAAATGTTTAAGGTAGTAATGGCCCCCAAGGTCTTGCAGAGGCACTTAGAAAAACCTGTCTTCAAAGCACAGACTTTGTGTAGGGAATTTCAGGATGTGGAATTAGACTTTCAGGTTCTTTGTCCTTGTGCTTATTCCATTCTCCACTGGATCCTAAACTATGGTTCACAATAAAGCAACCATCTTATCATTTTGCTTTGAACTTTGCCTGCACACGACGATGCAGTGATTTCTTTCGATCTTCTGTTGGAGTTGAAAATCTCAGCCTTTTAGCAAAGCATTTTGTAGCAGTGAGGGAAATTATTTCTGCTCGTCTCACTTGTCACAGTGGGACGTTTTACGTATTGCAAAAGCGAGAGATGTCTGGTGCTTTTTCTCTTGAAAGCCAACTTAAATTCCCTTGCAATTTTTTCTCAGCTCTTTTCCTGTTGAATTCTATCCCTTTTGTTCCCCTGCAGGTGCATAAACTCAGCAAAAGGCTAAGGTTACTGAGGTTCACCAGATTGCCTCTGTTGACATGTATACCTGCATGCGTAGAGCTTGTGACAGCTCAGCTCTGTTTCCTTGAGCTCTCAAACTGACTTATTATCTGTACTTAGTTAACATAAATCTACTGATGGGCAGCGGCTTCATGTGTGTCTGACTTTGAAGTTCACTGATAATTGCAAGCTTTGAGTGAAAAATCAGTTCAGTTTCTGCGCCTGCACTGATTGCACTCAGAGTATTCATTTGCACTGTGTCTTCTGCACTCTGATTGTACCTAGGTGATCAATTCTCATTGCTTAAGCACTCACAGCATGTCATGCTAGGATGCTGCTGGACTGGCATTCCTGTCTTATCACAGTGAGGTCTAGTTTGGAATAGCTTATAGTTTCCCTTACATCAATTAATGGTCATCTGGGCTCAATGAAATGCCATTCTTGGCTTGTGTCACTGCTGCTCTTGCATTGCCCTGGAACTGCTGATATCCTTTCTGTTAAAATGAGAGTGAAGGAATAATGGCTGGGCACAAGTGTGGAAAGGTTGCAGGATTTGTGATTACTTTGCCCAGGCCTTTGGTAATTAGTACTTCTGGAGCACTGAAAGCCAACTCTATCATTTCTGTTACTGGCAAGAAATGAGAAAACTCGGAGTCTGTGAGCCAGGAGGGAGAGACTGAGGAATGAGCTATTGGACGACTTCCATATTTACAGTATGATTGTTGTAGAAATAATTGTAAAGCTTATGCAAATGCGTGTGTTTTGGCAGCCAATCAGACTGTGGGGATTTGCATACTGAGTAGTTACTGAAAGAATCTGTGCTGATTCTGCAACTTGGATTTCCACGTCAAATATGAAGCACCTCTTGGTTAGGGTGAAGGTGGAAATACAGTTATGCTTTTATTTCTACAAAATACCTTGGTGCTTTCTTTTTAAGATAATTTACTTGCCCATTGGTTTCATTATAACTGGAGCTGCCTGCAGAACTCTCCTAAGCAACACAAGCAGAAGCTGGGAGTCCTGTCCAGCACACTTTGCAGAACATAGCAGAAACTGGTGAGGGTGAAGAAGGCAACTCCATGAAACTAAGCAATTTGGTTTGGGATTTTGAAGGCTTTTTACTTCCTTTCATACAAAGGCTCTGAGAGAAATATACAGCATGACTAAAATATGATGTAAAAGTGAAAAATATGCTCAGACACTTCTACTTACTGGGGCTCTGTATCGCTTCTTAGAGTCAGTTAGCTATCACTTTGATGTGATTGGTGATATTTTCACAAAATAAGATGGTGTTAGGAATTTAAGGTGTTAAAACAGTAGACTGCACAGCTGCATTGAGTACACTTCAGATCTGTTGTGCCAGTGTTCTACTGATATTTTTGGGGGGGAAATGTGAATAATCCTTGAACATCTAATTTGCTCTGTAAGATTTTTATCAGGTGTAATAGGGAGTTGGTGTCTAAAATCCATCCCATGTCTGAAATGTGGAAGGCTAGTTTGGCTAGCTATTGAAGCATGGGCTTATTGTGAATGTGTGTCTTATCTTGTGTCTTGGTGCTCTGCCCCTGCCTCTTTCAGATATGAAATCTGTTTTAAGTAATCTGCTTTGGGAATTGAATTCAAACTGAGAGAGCTTCATGCATTCTGAAGGTGCATTTAAATGCCAAGTGTGTGTGTAGGATCAGATCACAGCTGTGTTGCAAAGATGGGAAAAGTGGCATGGAAAGCAAAAAAAAATGAAGACTTCGTATTTATTCTATCCAAATACTTGTAGAATCCTGACTTTATCAATCTTGCTATTGTTTACTTCTGCAGTCTCTGGACAGCGAAGAGTTTCATGTACTGTCTTTCTTTAATTTTCGCAGGTACCACAAGAGCCAGGCCATTTACCTGGAGTCTAAAGAGAACACTAAGATCAGCTGTGTCATCAGTTCTGTGGGCGCCAACGAGGTAGTGGGCTTCTCCTTGCTCACAGGAGTGGGGAAAACTGTGGGTTGCTTTAGGCAGGCAGGCAGCTGTTTGCTAGGGACTAAGAGAATATACTGCTTTCTGGAAGGATGTAATTGTGTAGTGTATGAAGAAATTGAGTAGAGGATGACACTGAATTGACATCTCTTCTTGAGGCTTCCTGCGTCTCTAAAGCATGATACTACATTTTGCAAGTAGTAGCTTGGCGAGCAGGAAGAGTGAGAAGAGCTGTCGTGTTGCATCTCCTTGATGCTGCATTAGTAAGTTCCATTTGCATTACTGAAAGGACACGCAGCTCCTATTAATGCAGAGTAAAAGTAAATCCCATTGGGTTGCCAGGAGAGAATAAGGACAAACGTTGTCACCAAATTTAGTTCCTCTGAGGGGAGAAAATTCTTCCTGCTCACCTGGGTATGTAGATTGTAAAGTGTGCTGGCATCATTCATCACCTGCATGGGAGATAGAGGGGGTGAGTCATTTGTCAGAGGCAATTTCCTGTTGGCTAATGATAAAGACTTACAGAAACAGGTGAAGAAAGAGATGTGTGCTGAAGATTGATGTGAATCTCATTGCAAAGTAAGCTGACTGTTTGAGCAGCCTGTTAGTTGGGCAAAGAGAGCAGGTTATTTCTTGAGCTGAGATTCCTAGCACTTTGAGGAAAGAAACAATAGACTCAAATGCAATTCTCTTCAATCAGGCAATAAAGTAGCTTTAATTTGTTTTGGCAGTTAAGGGAAACTGCTTCATTTCAACAAAATGAGTTGCATATGGGATATGCTTTGTATCACAACTGTTCTCCTTGCTGTAGCAGTTATGCTCAGTGGCTGTTTACTGAGATGAGGTGGCAGCATGTTAGCAAACGTAGCACTGCTAATTTGATTAAAGTTATTACTATTGACTTACAACAATAAAACTCTCAATCTTTTGGGAGCAGCTTACCTGAAACCCGAGGAAAACGCAATGTTTCTTATTGCATGTATTTCACTTTAAAGTGACACAGTAGGTATTGGTTTTTCTTTCTGGGAGAAGGCATGGCAGTTAGTTTCCTGCAATGGCCCATCACAACAGTACAAAAGCAAAAGAGATGGGAACAGAATACTGAAATGAGAACGTGTCCTTAGGAGTGCTCTGTGCACCTCAGCTTTTGTTGCTCATTCAAGTGGAGCTGCCAAACTGTTCTCCCAGAGTCCTGCATTGAGTTAGAGGCAAGAAGGCAAACCTCAACTTGTGGTAGACTGCAGTCCTAATTTGACAGCACTTGGAAGTCAAGTCGGTTCATAATTTGGTAGCATTTCTAATGGAAGTCAGCTCAGTTCAAAGGAGCTGTACTAAAGGTGCTTCTGCAGATTGTCTCCCCACCAGCATGTCTGTACACTTCAAAGTAAGAAGCCTTAACTAAGAAACATAACATTATGGCATAAAATGGCTTCCACATGGCTGGAGAAAGGAAGGAATTGGTTAACAGTGTATCAGAAGTCTCCTCCTTCACGTGAAGATCAAAAATTAGTTTTGTGAAACTGGGCTTGAATTTTGGAATTGACCATAGGCCTCTCCAGCACTCACAGCTGGGATGATCCTATCTGAAATAAATAAGAATTCCACGTGGATTCCTTGGAATCTGAGTCAAACTTCTGCTCTGGTGGAAGTCATTGGCCAGACTCGCAGAAAAGTTCAGCTTCTGCGTTTTGACAGCAAGAACCTCTTCAGTAGGTGCAGGAAGGGGTTTTCTTGTTGGGATTTATTCAGCAAGCTCAGTTTGTGGCCAGTTATGATGTAAACTTGCAAGCTTGTTTTCCTTTACAATTTAGGAATCAAAGAAGAGAAGAGCACGGTTTCTTTCTATTCCCCTTGTCCTTCGGTTCTTTAGAATTAATAGATGTGCTCTTCTGATTTCTGGCTACATTTTGTGTCTAAAATGTCAGTTTTAAGTTCAGAATGTCTCAATTCTTTTATTCTCCTTAATCGTGTGGCACGTTTTAGGGCTAATTTTACTGTTGTGGTCACTGAAAAAGGATTTTGCTTTTTCCTACTAAATAAAGCTTGATGAAGCAGTTAGCTTTGATAAGGCAGTGTAGCATTCCATCATATCCTGATGGAATGTGAAGCTCTGCACCTATTTACTATTGTGTATGGGCACTCAGTTTGCAGCTGGAGGAATTATTTTGGTTAGAAAAGCCCACCAAACACTGGGAATGTCACAACAGGGACGACTGTCAGAGAAGGTGGGTTTTAATTTCTCCAGGGAAATAACAGAAGTGCAAATGCAGGCAAATATTCAATTTATTTTATACCGAGGGCTTTTCTAGTGAGGTCAGATTATAATTAAAATAACAGTTAAATCAATATACCACATTAGGCCTGTAGCTAATGATATCTAGAAAAACAGTTTGAGATAAATTAGTTTCTGACTTTACAGCCCCTTGCAGTGGGAAATACTGGGCTTCTGTTCTAAAGTACTCCATAACTCAGAGCTGGAAGACTTGTATTTTCCATGTATATGTATTTAGTCATTTTAAATGCAATAATAAAAGGAAGAGGAATTTTGTTCAGATTTGATTTTTAAAATGCCATTGTTTGGGTCCAAACTTCTGTGTTATTTGGGTCTTAGAAACGATTTTCGTTTATAAAAACTGACTGAAGGGTTGCTTACATGGGAAGTAATTTGTCCTTTGAAATGTGCTGTACGTCTGCAAGCCATACGAATCCTTCCATGCAGGTATGTTTAAAAGAGGCCCTTTTATCTTCAGGTACAATTGTTTAATAAATTGTGAGAAATGCTTCACTGAACAGAATCTGAGTAAGCTTTTCACTTGACTAATATCCACTTGTCTGAGCAAATCCCAGGATAGATGAATTGTATGATCTGTGGATCTGGAGGGCCTTACTTTTGATTAGGTAAGGCTTAATGCCAGGGTTCTGGGGAGAGCTGTAGCAGAAGGAAACTTTGCTTTCTTGATGAAGCTTGGGAAGAGTAATTATTCTTGATGACTGTTTTGAGCAGAGAGTTGAAGTGGTGAAGTCAGAAGCGTTAGCAGAAAACTAATGTGGGAAGGGAAAAGGAATTAACCAAAGCATCCTGCACCCTGAATAACGGAGACGTTCAGATTCTCAGTGAGAACATCTGAAATATTGGGCTGCATATTACTTACAATGGGATTTTTCCCTTTTTTTCCCTAATCTGTTCCCCCTGCCTCACTCTCTCTCCTGCAGATCTGGGTGAGGAAAACCAGTGACAGCACAAAGATGAGAATCTATCTGGGACAGCTGCAGCGAGGTGTTTTTGTGATTCGTCGGCGATCAGCTGCATGACTGTATGCTCTTCCTTGGTCCTTTTCTTTTTTCCTCCTTGTTTTTTTTATTAAAACCAATAGAGAAACCTCTAATGGGGTATGGCAGTCTGTTCACTCTCATCTTAGAAGCAGAAAACGCTGTCATAACCTCTTATGAGACAGTTTGTGGCTGGCCACGTTATTCCATGTAGTCCTGAAATCTCGGTGATACACAAACACTGCCCTGGACTATTTCTGGACTTTGCATCAGGCTGCTGTATGCTTTCTTTTTTTTTAATATCTATTTTGGATGACTATTTAACAAGGTTTGCATCATACTTTTTTTCATCGTTGTTTCATGGAGCACAGATTGGACTTGTATGTTGAAAACAGCCTAATGTTTGTGTTTTGAATCAGACCAATGGAAGAAACTTTGTTTGTCAAGACCTGAAGTTGGTTGTTCTTCTTGGCTTTGATATCTTGCAAGGCTCAGGATGTCGGGCAAAAGGAGAGGAATCCTGCCAACCTTCAGCTGCAGCTGAGGAGTGCATCTGTAATATCTGGTGTACAACATCAGCTTACTGGATGAACTGCTGAAGGACTTGAGTGCTGAGGCTTTTCTGGGGAAGTCTGATCAGTTTAGCAAGTGCTGAAAATCAAGTCGATTTTAATATAGCTAAGCAGTCACACGTGGCTAATCCAAAGCATCCATTTCTCTTCACATTAAAAAACCTTTCAATGAACAAGCAAAGAGTGTGTCTTATACCTAGATTCCCTGGAATAGGCAGATGAGGATAAACCAAAGGCTTGGTTAACTGGACTTTGCACATACAAAGACTGCAAGTGTGGTACAGAGTGGAAAGCTGCCTTAACGTGCTTTTAGCATACACCTAAAACCATCTTTCCCCAAAGCACCATGCATACGTTTGTCTTTGAAGGGTGTTCCAATTACTGGATGTAGTGCTGTATTTCTACATTTGTCCTCCAAAACCACAAGAGGTAAAATGTTCAAGAGATGATATTAGCTGTATTAACACCCTTCTGAGGTGTTTAAGGATCTGACTGGCATTCCTTCTTCTCTGTCTTCCTGTTGGCTGAAACCACCAATACTGTGTGTGACTTTATTGCAGGAACTACACAGCCCAGTGACATCACTGCCTGAACTTCAGCTTCTGTGCAAATCAAGTCTGTGCTCCTTTTGGTTACTGGTCAAAAAGTTGTAATTTCTGCCTTTCCCTCTCTGTTTCGTTGTGAGTTATCTTTTGTTTTTGCTTTTCAGCTGCCTTCTTGTTCAGCATTGGTCCGGCCTGTTTCATATCTGGATAAATAGAGTATTTTAAATGACTGTTTCAGTTTCTTTTACTCGCTGCAGTTGGGTGGCAGTCACATCCCTGTAACTGATGTGTGTACGTGGATCTGGAGTGGAGTGTGATGGCCGAGCTGATGCGTTGCATTTTTGGCTGAAGGACCTCACATACATTTGCTGTGCTTAAAAGTTCAGCTACATCTGAACTTCTGGTGGGGAAAAGGAGGACGTTGCAGTTTCCCACCCTTAAAAATGTGCCATCTTTGCTGCAGAGTTAGGTGGAACGCAGCAGGCTGTATTTTGTCAAGTTAACAGCATACTTAATGTAACTTAACATTCTGTGTGTGTGTGGCAGGGTTTTATATAAGGTAATCATGTACTGAACAGGATTTGTCACTAAGCCTTACAGTGATCATCATAGTTCTTATAATAAAAAGCATTAAGTAAATAGCAGGATGTTTTTCCTACCTTCATCGTGTTATGAGCACACACACTGGGGGAAGTGGTTGAAAACGTGGAGTTTTGGAAGGATACCTTGCTGACCTGCTAACAGCAGATGATCTCTCTTTTGCTGTGATGTTGTCTTTAAAGGCATTGGTAGAAACCTGGAAATGCAGCAGTTCTCTTAGAGCCAGTATGATATCAGTGCACATCATAGGAGCTTAATTCTATAGCTTCATCACTGCTGCTCAGTCTGAATCAACATCAGCTCACCTTCCCTATCCTTAGGCAGAAGAGGGAGGAAAAAACAGCTGTGCTCGCAATCCCAAACCTGCCTTTCCATTGCTGTGGTCTGATGTCCCGGTTTGCAGTGGGAGGGGTGACATCTTCCCACTCCCAAATCAGCATCTGAATGGTCTCCAAACCCCTGTGGGGCTGTTGCACTGTTTCCTTCTCTAACCTGGTGTTGATTCAGAGCAATGTGGATCTGATCTGGTTTGCAAACACTTTGACGTTCAACTCGTGCTGTTTTCACACTGATTTTGAATGTTCAGAAAGGATTGTACAAAGGTTGTAATAACTCCTGTCTGTTCTTTGCCCATGGCCTATTTCCCCACTGCCCCTGAATTACCTTTGAAATCTAATTTCTGTTTTTAGCGTGGGCCTGTAGCCCCCTTTTTGCTCATATTAAACTGCTGCATGGAAGGTATTTCATTTTAAGGCTGCTTCATAATTCCAGGTTTTCATGAAATGGATGTCTTGCTTACCATTGCTGATCACTGTGAAAAATCAGTCCGTCCCCTCTGTCAAAGTAAACAAATATTGCATCCTGTTTTTCCAAGCAGGCTGCTGTATAATGGCCTGTGCCATTTACAGGCTGGAAAGGCTCAAAATGCAGTGCCTTACTGTGTGCTCAGGAGAGCAGCAGGTTTCTTTCATCCTTGAGGGATTCTCCAAATGCTCAGGGTGTGCCTTGTTTGATCAAATGTGTGGATGTCAGTGGCAGAAACAAGAATGTGCTGCTGGTTGGGAGAAGCCCAGTTACCCCAGGAGATGGACACAGTCTTTCCTCGCTTCTAAGAGAAAATTGGTTTTTTTTTTTGCCTGTTATCTGTCTAACAGCAGTCTTTAACTCAAATCCTCCGTGAACAGAAATGGCTTTGTGGGTGTGAAAATGCTTCATCCTCATTATTAACAGTGTTTAAAGTAAATTCAAGAGATGGTTTTAACTGCTGGCTATAGAGGTTTTTAAAGAAGGGTGAACTTTCTGCTGATAACAGATTTTTCTAAGGGTTAAACTGTAGCTGGCTGGTAGCTCCTGTTTGGCACTGTTGTCATTACACTGAGAAACAGACTGCGTGTCTGCTGGGGGAAGAACCAACACATTATTTAGTACTTGATCAGCCATTAGATACTGAAATGTAAAGGAAGGCAGATCAGCCAACCAACTTCCAGTGACTTTTTGACATCGCGCTCACTGAAAAGTTTCAGAGATGTTTTTACCAGGATGAATGCTGATCCAAGAAATTGTCTTACTCAGCTCGTGCACTTTGCCTGTAAGGAGACAGTGATGTAGCAATGAAAGCCCTGAGTGTTTGCAATTTTTCATGTTACTGGAGCACTTACAGAAACGAAATCTAAAAGAGCCAGAGATTGTTGTGACCTTTGTGAATAACTGTGATTCTTCCCCTTTGGAAAAAAAAAAAGGTGGTTTGAGGCACCTTTGGGATTCTTATTCTGCAGAAGCAAACAGAGCCAACATAAAGTGATTGAGAAGAACTGGATGTTTGCAGTGTGCTGTTCCTGCTTTCACTTTGTCCAGTTTGAAGAATCAAACTGTAATATGCTTTTAAAGCATTCAGGAGACAAAAGTAGATGTGCTGGATGAATGAAAGGCTCAATCCACGTTTTGTGCAGTTAAAGAATTCCACTATTTTGATAACGTTTAAGTGTTGAAATGTATAAATGGGGGTTGGAGCTTGATGATCCTTGAGGTCCCTTCCAACCCAGGCCATTCTGTGATAGATGCAATACACTTTTAACAGTGTATTTTGAAGCAGGATAGGCATCTAAGCTCTCAACGTGTGAACAAGGCTCTGAGCAGAAGTACAGGAAGAGTTAATGAAGTCTTGGGATCTGAAACATCCGTGCTTGGAGCAGGGCTGGTCATTTTTAGGCCATCAGAACCCATAGATTTAACACTCTAGAAACTGCTTTGAGTTATTTAATCAATCTTGGATTTGCCTCTCTTGCAAACCATCCATTGCTCACTATGCCTGAAGTTGCTTTGTGGCTTTTCACTTAATTCTATTCTTCATCCACATGCTCTATCCTAAATCCTGAGAGGAAAACATACCAGCACAGAAAGTGATGAAGCATGTGTTTTTCATTTCACTTTATTAATGTTCCTTACTCTTATTGAGTTGGAATTCTTCTGACAGTGATGGCCTTCAAATCTCTCCTGTTTATTTCATGTCTGTGTCAGGTAATGAAAGCTAACGATCTTTAATTAAAATGACTGCAAATGTAAATCAGTGTTAAAAATTGCATCTTCAGGTTTTTGCCTGCTTATTTTGACCTTTTTGGGAACCAGTGTTCCAAACCCCATATATCAGGAGGCGTTGGGTAGTGTAGAAGACTGAATACTAACAGCAGAAAATCAGTTAATGTGGTTGTATGAACACAAGAGGCAAATGTTCTGTTAGAATGGATTGCTGTCATAGTAGAAGTTTCACCCATTAGAACTGGGAATTATTAAAGCCCTTGGGTTAGGAGTGTCCTGAAGAGCATGAGGCATGGCAGAAAGGTTTTGCTTGGATTTTGTGGTTGTGTGCACTGTGGTAGTGCTGATATGTTACTCCAGCAGTGTTGGTTTGGCCTCACTTTGTATCAGAACAGCTTGGCAAAACTTTCCAGAGTTCCCAGCCCTCCCTCATTAGTCATTAGTCTTGTTCTTCCTTAAACAATTCAGAACTGTTGTTGTTGTTTTAATACTGACATTCTGAGGTCCGTAGGGAGCAGCATGTGGTTACCTTCTGCTACCTGCGTGCCGCAGACCTTTGGATCGTATTCCTGTACTGTGTCTTGTTATAACACTGTTACAATGCTGTTGCATATTTACTTCAACTGCAAAGCGTTGCTACTTTTCTTTAATTAATTTGTGAGCGTTTTTACAGCTTTTGTATCCTTTTGTTGCCAAACACCCTGCTGAATCAACCTGGTGCCTCAGATAAAGACTGATGCTGGAGGAGTGTGGTGTGTTGCCCAGCAGGTTCAGTGTAACTGCAGCATATGATGCCTTTGGTAAGTGCTTGATGACCAAGGATGTGGTCTGCTCCTGTGACTGTGTTTGTTGCTTGTCTTGCTGTACTATTCACTCCGGTGAGCTGGTTGTGCTTCCAAGAGGCTGTGAAGATGATCACAAACATGCAGCTGTTGTGTATCTGATAGTGCTTGATTAGCTGTCACCTGTTCCCTTGTGGTCTCCAGGGAGCTGTTTTCTCTCAGGAACCTACTGCTGTAATATTAGGGCAACATGCTGGAAAGCTGGTGAGGGTGAGCTTTGCCTGCTTGCTGCTCAACCCAACCAGCATCACCAGAGCCTGCGGAAAGCCTCCCTCTTCTCATGAGGCTGGGTTTTGTGCTGCCCTCTGTCTCACTTGATTGGCCCCTGGAGGCACCACTCTCCATCGAGCCAACAAGAGGCAGCTAGGATGAGGTAATGGCCTCAAGCGGTGCTGGGGTGGTTCAGGTTGAATATTAAGAAACATTTCTACTCAAAGTGGTGATGCAGTGGCACAGGCTGCCCAGGGAGAGATGGGGTCACCATTCCTGCAGGTGTTCCAGAACTGTGGGGATGTGGCACTGAGGGACATGATCAGTGGGCATGGTGGGCTGGGACTTGGCGATTGTAGAGGTGGTTTCCAACCTCAGTGATTCAGTGATTCCATAAATGCTGCAGCCTTCGGAGTGGCTGTTGCAAAGAGCACTGGAAACGCTGTGGCTTATCGGTGTCAGATCTGCTCTTGTGCTGTTGATTGGCTTCATGAACCTCTTAAATGATTTTGGGGAAGACCTCAATCCCCAGCACAACCTTGCCACCCCTCTTTGCTTACCATTGCTCGAGGGCTTGGCTGATGGCAGTGATGCTGGAAGCCTGCTGCAGGCACAAACGGTGTGCTCTCCCTTGCCAAGGGGAAAGCAGACAGCTGCAGCCTCACTATGCACCACACACTGCCAGGGGGAGGCAGAGGCTGAGGCTCAGTGGGACCGTGACAGCATGAAGGCACACAGTCAGGATGCTGTTTACATTAGTGACAAAGGTTTCCATTGCTTAATCAATTGAGTTGATCAGAGCTGAGATTCTGTGTTTTCCACAGGTCTCAGTCTGCAACTCATTCAGGTTAACCTGTGTGTTTCATCTCCTCACCCCACGTACTTTGCTCACCGTGCTGTTATCCACTCTCATTTCCAATTTCACACTGATATGCTCTTGACGTATTTATAAACGAATTCTTATGTCAATCCACTAAAAAAAACAACCAAATACGTTCCAGTGAAATATTTCTCTACTCTGTCTCCTGTTGCTGTGACAGTCTTGATTGCTACTGAGCAAAAAGGGTGGCAGAAGCTCGTGTCAGCACCAGAACATCCTGCTTTCTGCATGGTCAGTGCTGTGAAGACCATCCGGAGCCTGCTGCTGTCTGTCTTGGCAGTGATTTTATCCATACCGTATTTTTGATAGGCAAATCTCAAAGGCTTCTACAGAGAGAAGTAAATGAGAACGGATATGTGCTCGCTCAGCTGGGGAAGCTGAGGCATAGGAGTGCAGTGATGAGCTGAGGATGAAAACAGTTCCCTCCAGGTCTCTTAGCTGAGCTTTCCTCAGGGTGTTGGGGCAGTTACATCAGAACTTCATGCCTCTCAGTGTGTCATCTCTAGATTTATCTTCTCTGTCCGGCTGGGCAGGATGAGGCGCAGCCTGGAATGAGTGACTGGATGGTTTCT